AAAGTTTAACATCATCATTTATCGCTTATTTATTCAAATATTTGTAGTTTTTAATTAATTATAATTTAAAATGTATCTTAACTATTTATAAAAAACATAAAATCAACAAAACATGTACATTAATTTGTTTAACATTTTACTATTATTCTAAACAAAATGTAAAAAAAAAAATTATACAAGTTGTATTTACTAAATTTTTCTTTTGGATTAACAAAAAAAAGAAAACTCACAACAATGTTTTAGTTAAATGAATATAAAACACGTATTTGAACTCAAAACAATTTACTAGACGATCAGAAAACCACAAAAACGTTTAAATAACAATAACAAATATTTACAATAAATTGTAAGCAGTTGAAAAAAAAACAATTTTAAAGTCAAATTTGTATTTAACAAACGAACATGTACAATTGTATATACAACACAAACAAATATTTTTGAAATATTTTGTAAAGGTAAATAATAGTAAAATACTACTTATGTAAGTGAATTTAAATTTTAAAATTAAAAAAAAACACACAAAAAAAATGTGCAAAAATATGTAAAAAGAAAATTTTGAAAAACAAATTATTACAAAACATATTCGTGCAGCATTATTTGTATAAAACAAGAATATTTATTTATAAACTAATAATAAATGAAAAAAACACATTTATTATACAAATAAACAAAAAAAAAACTATTATTTAACTAAGAAGATGAAATGAAAAAAAAAAAATGAAAATTATATACATATTTAGAATTTTAAATAAATTTAAAAGATTTTTAATTTTAAGTCAATGAATGTTACATATTAAACAAAACAACAACAACAAAAAAATGAAATGAAATATATAACACATACAACAAAAAAAATCAAACACACCTCTTAAATTGTTTGTATTTATTAATAGAACAGATACATAGGTATTTGACGAACGAGCAAATTTCATTCCTATTAAGGTTTTACAATTTAATTGGGAAAATTGTTAATGTTCGTTTATAGTCATTTAAAATTAACAGAGGGGATGTTATATTAACAAAAACAGGGGACAAAAATACGTCATTTCATATCGATGGAAATCTCATTAGCATTTAAAAGGATTTAAATGGACATTTTAAACTAAAGGAGGTACTATAGAGTGTTCTAAATCATGCGGTATGAATAGGTTTGTAAAATTTTAAGTTTAAAAATTAGAAACTTTTGAATACACATACATTAGATATAAAGATGTATAGTCGAGCATGGCGACCACATGATACCCTACATTAGTGTGTAGTATGTAAAAATGTCAATTATTTTGAATAATAAGCCATTTAAGTTGTTTATTAACCTAATTCCAAAATATTTTAACAATTTCGTGACAATAAGGTGATTTTCTGTAAGTGGGGTCAAAGGGCAAGGGCTAATCCATAAAAATATTGCAACAGTGATTTACATTTTATTGAAGTTATTTATGCAGAATTTTATCATATAAACTAGGGTTTATAAATGAATTTTGACCTTCAAGTCATTTTCACAAGGAGACTTTGTATAGGGTCAAATGAGACCCGATTATTACGAAAATCGGCAGTATCATTTAGTCTTACATAAAACAATGATTTTCCCGTTTTTGTAGAAATATAAAAACATTTAACATAATTATCAGCTTAAAAGCGCTATTCTGGGGGTCCGGTTGTATAGGGGCTAAATGAAGTAATTTACCGATTTCAACCATTAGACCAACCATTGCCAAATTTCATAAAATTATCTTGGAAATTGCGATATGTAGCGGGCGCACAAGGTTTACATGGACATACAGACGCACGGACATAGTTTAACCGACTCATAAAATTAGGTGGGTATAGGACCAATATTTTTGGGTGTTATAAACATAAGTACAAACTAGGGATGCCAATCGGGACTGGTTTTTAGAAATCCCGGGATTCGGGATTTTTAAATAAATCCCGGAATCCCGATATCGGGATCCCGGGATTTTCGGGATTTCTAAATCCCGAAAAATATAAAAAAATTCAAAAAATCTTAATAATTTACCGACAAAAATAAAATGTTTTATTTCAAATTGCAATATGAATACTCTTAGTAGGTGTTTACTTTCCAATAAGCATTTTGTGAAAAGAAAAACAAATTAATTCAAAGTACATACTTAGAATAAAAATCTTTCCATCCCAGGCACTGAATAGTAGAATAAAGACCTTAAATAATACCCATGATATCCAAATTTACAATGGTTTCCAAATAATATTTAAATAGTATGTGTAATGGGGATCCATACGAGGATACATAGAGCACCTATACTGCACCTATATCTCCTCCACCTTATATTCCGTGTTCACTAACCAAGGGAATTATCTTCTCGCCATCTTATTGACAGGTTGACTTCCATTATAGATATCCGATAGTATCAATGCCTATTTATTGCCCTTTTTATACCCTTAGTAGGGATGGTATATTGGGTTTCTCCGGAGTAGTGCTTTTGTTTTATACTGTCCTAAAATACGCTGATGAAATTTTAAATGATCGGGCTTTTGATCCGAGCCCCTATATAAAACACAGCTTTAAAAAAGAATTAGTGTCCACAATTCGCTTAAAAAGAGAACTGTCGCAAATGAAAATCAGCATAAAACATTTTATGTAATCGTAAATTCGCCCTCCAAATTTTATGAGGATCGACTCATATGATGGCGTCCTTCCCCCAAGCATATTTCAGAAAAATAGTTTTTTAACTTTATTAAATTAAATTAAAATTAAATAACATTTTACTCTCATAACTGGTGTATGGGGTTATATGGTCGGCCTCGCCCGCCTATAATTTCGTACTTGTTATTTTTATATATCCGATAGTATCTATGCCTATTTAGTATAGCAATGAAATTTGATATTAGTAAATCCCTGACGAGCCAAAACCTCTCTACCAAATTTTATGTGGGTCGGTTCATAATTGACCCTACCCCCATATAAGGTCCCGTTAAAAAAAATGACTTTAACGCTCATTACTGGCTTAAAAAAGTATAGCGATGAAATTCGATACACATATGTTTCATGCGAGTCAAAATCTCTCTACCAAGTTTTATGTGTTTCGGTCCATAATTGACCCTACCCCTACATAAGGTCCCATTCAGATAAATACTTTAACGTTCATTACTGGCTTACAAGTACGAGTGTAGAGATGAAATTTGAGATAAGTAAATTTCTTACTCGCCAAAAGCTAAGAAACTTTTATAGGAACGTAAATCTTCCTACCGGAAAGTGTATGAACCAAAATTGGTTTAAAAAAATTATGAAAAATTTTATAAAAACGGTCAATGATTCACCCTACCTCTCATATAAGATCCTATCAGTAAATTTGATGAGTAATATCACCCTGATGTTTATAGAAAAGCATATTCGGCATAGCCGAATATAGCACTCTTACTTTTTTTTTTTGATATTTCAGCTTGTAAGTTAGTAGAGTCATCTTAAGTCCAAAAACTTTTAAAATTCTCTTATTTAATACTTTATAATGTATAAAATAGCGGAAAAATACTTAAAAATTCGGGATTTTAAAATCCCGAAATTTCCCGGGATTTCATTTTTTAAAATCCCGGTTTTCGGTACTTTCGAATCCCGAAAATCCCGGGATTTTCGGGAATCGGGAATTCCCGTTTGGCATCCCTAGTACAAACCGTTCCCACTATGATGGCGTAGGGTATAAAAATTATCCTCAATATATGTTATACATAAATATTTGTATATGAAAACCCGTAAAATGATTATAAACCCTTAAAAACTGCTCCAATATTTCCGCTCATAAATGAAATTTTTAAAATTGCTTATAGATCACTAAATAACGATTCAATTGATAAAGTATGGACAATTTGTGATGACTTGTTTAGTGAAATAGACTTTATATCCTAAAATAACACTTCAACTGAGAAAACAATGAGTTCATGTCGAACACTAACAACTAAACTACGAAGGTATTCAAACAATTCTACACAACCGAGAAACCATTACAACAACACTTAATTCATGTTATTCATCTTCTTGTAGACCACCTTGCCAAAAATCTCATAAAAGTTTAGTCCATACCCCTGAAGAATCTAATGCAGTTTGCAGCGATTTTTGTAGCAGCCCCATAAACCTTACTTGAATCTTTATATCCAAAATAACAACCAAAATGGTTTAATTGAGTTAGAAACATTACCTATACTTAGGTTAACAACTCTATAGCAATTTAAACTCTAGTTCTCACTTACCTCTATAAACATGAAAAACTTCCTGGTGCATGCAACCGGCAAAATGTTTAAGTTTCTGTCTGAACGATGTTTTAATACTTTTAAAGGAAAATTCGCCGTATGAATGGAATAAACATTTTTCATTTTCATAAATTTGTTAAAACACAATTTAAATTAAATTTTTTTTTTAATAAAACATGATTTTTTTAATATTTTCTAAATGGAACACAATTTTGCAACATAAAATTTAATAAGTTTATGTACGAACGATATTTTAGTATTTTTTAAGGAAAATTCACTGCATGAATGGAATAAAAACACCTCATTTTCACAAATTTTGTTAAAACACAATTTAAATTTATTTTTTTAAATAAAAGTTATGATTTTTTTAATATTTTCTAGATGGAACACAATTTCGCAACATAAAAAAATTACCGCTTTTTATGCTTTCACTTGGGCTTGCCAGATGGTGAGAAAGTTTGTTTACATTTTGTGTGTATTGTGTGGTAACACTGTACTAGGTTACCGTTGCTAGAGGCATGTTTATATAGGGATGCCGGACAGTAACTTTAAAGTGTGATAAATTTATTCACAATACAGGCAGCACTATATTAAAATTACCGTTGTTGCATTTACATACAAGTACATAATTAGAAATATTTTCTAATTCAAAATACGATTTTTTTCTGGCTAAAATTGGTGATGGCGTTGTATAATCTTTATTACAGGCCAAATAATTCTTAGTTTATGAAACTAATTTTGTAAAGAACAATTCGGCTTCGTAATGAAAAATAAAAAAGCACTATGTTTTTTTCCTCACTTTATTAAGTTCATATTATTTCGAATAATAAAAAGTACATTAATAAAAGCATAAATGAAAAAAATAAATAGTTTAATTCAATTGTCGTCACGTTTGCAGAAAAAAAATTAAAATTCTTTGTTTTAAAACAGGCTTTTTGATTTTAAACGAAAATTTATACATAATAAAAAAAAAGATACTAAAAAAAGAAATTTTTAGAAAACATATTCATTAATGCATATAAGTTACTTATTCATACTGTATTATGCTTCAATTTATGAAATTCATAATTTAAGTATCATGTTTTGAACAAGACAAATAATTATAAAAAATACTTTTAAATAAACTTTACGGAGATTCATTTAGTAACGATCACGACGGCCGCCACCACCTCCTCCACCACGACCACCACTTCGTCCACCATAGCCTCCACCACCACTGCGTGGACCTCTTAAATTATTAAACTTGGACATTTCTTCATTTTTCCTCTCCTTCATTTTGGCAAAACGTTGAGCCATATCACGCAACTCCTCTGGCACATGCTGGTTAGCCTCTTCGAGTATGGATATTAGCTCTGGAGCCATACCCCAATCGGAACGTGTTATATAACTAATGGAAGTACCAGTGCGGCCAGCACGTCCGGTACGTCCCACACGATGTACGTACTCTTCAATATTACGTGGAAAGTCAAAATTTATAACATGTCTGAAATATACAAAATGATCAATTAAGATTAATGTTTCAATTAAAACAAAACTAACGTTATATCCTCAATATCAAGACCTCGTGATGCCACATCGGTAGCTATAAGTATTCTTACTTCTCCCGAAGTAATATCGGCAATTGCTTGTTCACGATCAGACTATAAAGTTAAGATATGAAAATATATTTTCAATTAGGGAACAAATCAAATTTATACCTGTTCACGAGAACCATGAATACATTGACACATGTAACCGTCTAAAGTCAGATCACTTGACAAATCATCAGCTCTAACTTTTTTGCCACAGAAGATTATAATTTTATCATCCGGTTTCATATTCTTGATAAATCTTTTAGCCTAAACATTTTCAAATTAAAGTCAAATTAAAGTAAATAAAACAACGAAATCAATTTTCCAAACTTACAGTGTAGAATTTATCTTCCTCTTCCATTATTTCTATAATCTGCTCCACCGTATGAGTGGCAGCCAAATCCAATGAACCCACACACACTTGTATGGGATTGTTCATGTAGCTCTGAGCTAAACGTCTTACACCAGCCGGCCAGGTGGCACTAGTCATAACCGTTTGACGATCCGGACGTATATCTAACAAAATCTTGCGAATTTGAGGTTCAAAACCCATATCCAACATACGATCGGCTTCATCTAGTACCAAATAGGTAATGGTAGCCACATCAATAACTTTAGCTTGTATAAGATCATTAAGCCGTCCAGGGGTACAGATAATGATCTCAGCGCCACTTTCAACGCAACCAATTTGATCACGGCGATTGCCACCACCATAAACACAAACGCTATTTTGAAATAAATTAAGTTAAGAAATTTTTGTTACAATTTTATATACAAACTTACGCTTTCATGCCTCTAAACTGATATTTATTGACCTCCTTTTCAATCTGCAACGCCAACTCTCGTGTAGGAGCCATTATTAAAACATTCGGTCCTCCCCGCTCTGATCTTGGTAAACTTTGATACTCTGTATGTATCATGGCAGGCAAGAGGAAAGCTAATGTTTTGCCCGTACCCGTCTGAGCAATGCCAATCAGATCCTCACCTTTCAAAAGTATAGGCCAAGCTTGCGCCTGTATAGGTGAGGGCTTTTGGAAATCTTGTTTACGAATTTCAGCCAATAGATCTGGATATGCTGCAAAACATTGTTCAAACTTCCACACTGGATTGGGTATCTTATCGCAAACATTATCCTCGGACTTGAAAACTCTAGCCACTGTTGTCCTGTTATTCTCCAAACGCATGCGCTGAACCTCATCGTTAGACAAGGCAGCCACTTCGGGTGATTCTTGATAGAAATTCTTGGTTAGAGGAGGGCACAAGGCCCAACGTTTTTTCCTAGCAACTTCAGCTTTTTCATTTAAAGACTTCCAGTCTATAATGCCACTACTATCAACATTGCTATCGTCTTCGTAGGTGGTGCCGCCGCCACCTCCGCCACTATAAAAATCATTATCGGGTTGGCGATAACTACCGCCGCCACCACCTCTACCATAAAAATCACTTTTATAAGAGTTTCCCCTATCACGGCCATAGCTATCACCTCCACTATTACCACCATAACTCCGACCGCCTCCGCCTCCACCACCGCTACGATTATCAGATTTTTCCATTTGCTCCTTAATATTACACAAAGCACTTTGTACATCACCATCACTGTTACCGGACACCGTTACAGTACCACTGCCTTTATCCAGATCTACCCGTACATTAAAATCCGTTTGCAGACGCTGAATATTCGATCCGCCTCTACCAATGATCATGCCAATACAATCATTACGCACATCAATGGTTTCTTTAAAGTCGTAATTGCGTCCGGCATTATTTCTTCCACCGCCATCACGACCACGATCTCTACGTTTATCGAAATCATCATTTCTTCTACCTTGACCCCAATGGCCATCTGATGGCGGGCTCCGACGCCCTCCACCACTACGATTTAAATCTTTTTCATAATGTGTTTGCACTGCACTACCACAGTTATCATCCTCTTCCCAGTCAGACATAGTTGTGGAATATTTATGGATTGTAGATCTTTTTGTACGCGTTCAAAGTTTAAGATTACGATCTCGTGTTTGTAAAAATTGCAATTGAAGCTAAAAACGGTAAATTTGCAAATTCCCCTAAACAAAAAAAAAATAATGTCTTTTGTTGTTGTAGTTGAGGTTGCCAATGAGTTATTTCATGTAATAACAAAATAAGGCGTTACCAGATGAGATGAATGGAAGAAATCAATCTTGCGGTATATGCAGAAAAGAATTTATAGAAATAGCGGTTTCTTGAATCGACCTGCAGAAAAAGTCAAAGTCGACTATTTTTTTAATATTAATTTCATTATTTTTAATAACCTCGCATATATAGGCCAAAACTAGTTTCAAATTTATACTCATGTTTATACTTATTATTATTTATTTATTTAATTTATTTGTACATAATATAAAGCCTAGTTTAATAATATTTTGAAGTGTGTTCAATATGTTAATGTAAGAGTTTATGTTATACATCGTCTGAAAGTCTTTCATAAGCCATTTCTATGATATATAAAATTTTAAAAGATAATACGGATGATATTTAAAATTAAAACTCTTAAACCAAGCAGAAAGAAATTTTACACAACTTCTGATTTTACAAAAAATTTTTAATTTTAAAAAGTCATCGGTTTTCAAAACGAATGTTTTTTTATCAAATATTTCTATCGTCAAAAGATATGCCGTAGGCCGCCTATTCAGGAACTCTTTATTATTTATACATACCATAGAGGAGAAAATCCTTGCACCCGGCCATAGGACGGCGTGCAAGGATTTCATTTGATTATATACAAAAAAGGTTTACACCTTAAATATAAGCTTAATATAAAGCCTGGTTTAATATAAAACTATTTTAAGTATGTTCAATAGGTTAATATAAGGGTTTATGTTATACATCGTCTGAAAGTCTTTCATAAGCCATTTCTATTATTTATAAAATTTGAAAAGATAATACGGATGATATTTAAAATTAAAACTCTTAAACCAAGCAGAAAGAATTTTTACACAACTTTTTATTTTACAAAAAATTTTTAATTTTAAAAACTAATGTTTTTTTATCAAATATTTCTATCGTCAAAAGATATGCAGCGATACTCTGTTTCAAAGTAAATTTATAAAGTAGACTCATTTGAACAGCTGACTATTTTTTTTAAACTTGCTAATTGTGGACTTACTTGTCAAAAATGTTTATGTTGCCATATTTGTTTTCATTTTAACGCTTGCTTTTGTACAAATTTCTGAGTAATTTGTTGTATTTAATGTGAAAAAGTGTATTTTAAGTGTATAACATTTTTAAAAATGTTCTAATTTTTAAAAAATAAAGAAAACTCTGTGACTTTTAATATAAATAACAACATATTTTTGGAAAGTACAACAATAATGCCATATTTTCTATTAATTATTGGTTCATTTTTGTAAACAAATTTTGACAAGTGAGTATTTCGAACAAAAACAAATTGCCTGTGGTTTTTGTAGACGTTTGTTGTACAACAACTCGTGTCGCTACTTTATTAATTTACTTTGCTCTGTTTCTTATTTCTAGTTCAAAATAGCCAGCTACCGACTACTCAAATACTCAACAAAATCAGTGACAACAAAAACAATCCCTGAGTAATCAGTAATCGTAGAAAAAATTGGTAGTGATTTTGTGTGTGTCAGAGAGCAAAGTGATTGAGTCTCTAAGATTTTGTTTAAATTGTGCAATTTTTTGTATAAAAAATATTTAATAAAATTAAAAATTATTACAAAAATAAACAATAAATTGTCTACAACAAGCCTAAACGATAAATGTATAATATAAATAAATGTAAGTTAGTGTATTGAAAAATAAAAGAAAAAAATTACGGCAGAAAAAAGAAAGATTTTTTTCAATCGTTCGTTCATGTGCACAAAAGCTGCGGAAAAGAATGAAAGACACAACAAAGCAAAGACGACGAAAGTAATCGACAACAAAACGAATTGTTGTTTTGTGGAAGGGAAGGACGGACGGATCAACAATGAAATAGTGTAAGACCGAATAAAAATAAATATTCGGTATTACGGGTGTTAAAACAAAAATAAAAAAAGTATAATTATCTACATTTAATCAGGTATTTTTTTTTCGCAAAAAAGACACTAAATAGCTTCTATTGAAATGTGTCTTAATATTGTTTAAAATAAATATTTAATAATTTTAAAAAATAGGTTGCATTCAATACATAACAAAGAGTTATTTCTTTGTTTGTTTTAAAATCTCTTGGTTCTTGTGTTATCCTTGCAGTAATATGGTAACTCTATGGTGGAGAAGAAAAAATTAGGATGAAGTAATAAAAAGAACAAGAAGAGGATAGCATTAAGAGTTGCCAAATTTTATTTATTTAAACGTATTAAAGGTATTTATTAAAATTATGAATTTATTAAAAATAAAATATTTATATGTATATTAGAGGGGTCCAAAAAATATCGATTTTATTTGTATGTCTTATTTTGTTCATTAGTGTCTAGTGTTAATTTTTTTGGAACAATTCGGTTTATGAGACATTTCTCAAAAAAAAAGAAAAAACCCCAATTTTGAGAGGATAAACATTTTTTTGTCGGCCTACTTTCGAGTGGGCGGGGCTAAGAAGTTTAATACAAAAAAAATATACTTTAATATATAGTCGTCCAACGGCCGGGCGCAAAAACTTTCACCTCTATGGTATGTCCGGCTTCGCTTAATAAAGATTCGTTAGAAAGGTCTTTGAAATAATCGAAATCGACTTTGCTATACTTTACCATTATCAGCATAAGAGTGCGCGTATAAGGTTTTCGATTTTTTTAATTGCCAAACAATAACGATTCCAAATTGAAAACGAGCCCTACATTGTGTTTAAAAGGCCTAGAAATTATATCGTCATATGAAATCCAAAAAGCCTTAAGTTACATTGAACAAATTTTTCAGAAGCAAAAAACCGTCTAAAATGTTAAATAAACCAAAAATGTTCAACATTTTCTCATGTTAAGCTTATTTTTTATTGACAAATTATTATTTGAAAAATTTGCGGTTACGCCCTGGAGAATTTGTTTTTTCTGAAACCCAAAAGGGCGTAAGTTACATTAAAACAAATAGTACGTTTTAACATTTTCAACTAAATTAAAATCGGTTTTGTTGGCCAAATAGGCCGAAACATGGAAGGCATAAGGCTTCTTTGTTTTCAATTCTAAAACTGTTAAACTAATATCTAAAAAATTTCGAAAAGTGCCATTTTTGATTTATTTGATGCCAACTTTAAACATTTCACAGTTTCAAAGTTAAACATTCAAAAAGTTCAACATTCAAAAGAATTTCAAAATGTTCATGAATTTTAAGGTAATTTTAGAACATAACCTTTTAGAATTTCTTTGATTTTAATTGTAGGAGTGTAAATTTTTTAATTTTAATTGTAGGAGTGTGAAATTTATCAGGAACATGTATTTTGATGCGGTGCAGTATAATATATCAAAAAGTCGATTTTGATTTTTTTTGCAACTTAGGGCTTTTTGGATTTCATATGACGATATAAAGAATTATCAAAATCTTTTGATTTTTTAGTTTAAAAAATTTAAGAGAACGATCAAAATATTTTATGCAAAAATAAAACTACTTTACTGAATAATAAATCTGTTTGCTTTAATCAAAATTTATGAAAACTGGTGTTCATGTCATATCATTTTACGCAATTATTCACTACATTTCCTATATCTGTAAATGAGAATGTGACACGGAAAAAATTGAGACTACTCTGTAAAAAATACTCCACAAAGGACCAGGACTGTTCCAAAACTATTCCAAATATATGAAACAAACATTTTCGATTTAACGTTGCGATGTCTTATGCGAGGACTACGTAATCCACAACTGTGTTACATCGAAATAAACCCAAAACTACTCCTTTGCTAAAATTATGCGTCCACATGATCCATAACATGGCACCATGTAATGCAGGCTATAGATAATGTTCTTTTCAAAAACATTGATCATGGTTCATTCATTACGTAGGACTACTAAACGGATCATGAACTTCCAAAATGTTTTTAAGGCAGTAGTTTTGGGAGCACCTTAATGTATCAAGTACTCCAACAATTCCTCATATATCCGACACTAAAATTAGACACGTACCAGATGATATAAGTCTGAAACTAGAAATTAAACTAAGCAATACTGCGTTAACAGTTTTTTATTTCGTTATCCTGCTTCCTTGTAAAAGAACTTCAAAATTTTAAAAGAGCACATTAAAACAAATTATAAATAATTCTGCTTACTTCTATGACAAATTTGATGTCAAATGACCAAGAAGAGTTGTAAAATAGTTTTTGTTTTTTTTTTATTCTGTCATGCCCTCCATAATTCTTTTCTGAAAAAATAATATTAAAACCCGAAAAGATATTAAAGTATAACAATTTTAAAAGACATTTTTTACATCTTTATATCCTGACAGTATAAAATAAATATATATAATACAGAATATTTCCCATCTCATTTTGTTCTTTTGATAACAAATTTGGAATTGTTTGAACAGTAAAATTATTTTAAATCATTCATGTCTAACGATTTTAATCTCTTTTTGTCGAATGGAGTTATTTACCATTATTTGTAATAATTTATCTATTTACTTATTATTTTGTAAAATTTAAAAATTTACTAAGAATTTGCATATAAAATCTTTCCCTTCAATCATAACATAACAAACGTCCCATTTAAAAGGAAACATTGTTCTTAACATATTTCACACATTTTCCTCCTTAATACTCTATAATGCCCAACTCGAACGAAAAAATCCCTTAAAAACTTTCCCCACAACATTACACAATCCCTTTATTTATGGTATCTCAGCTGTGAGCGACGGGAAAATGAAATGAAAACATTAATGGCTGCCAAAATGGCAGCACGAGCTGCAGCACAGCGGTTTGACTTTGTTTAATGCTGTGGTATGACGGCGAACTATCCTACCCTATTCATAAAGGATTAATAAAGCTATTGACGATTTATTACAGGTAATTTGTTTGAAAAAATCAGTTTAATAAACCAAAAATAAGCGATTGATAAGTTTATGAATATGGGAATATTGTTTGATATAATGTCCTTAGAATTATAAACCATAAGATGTCTCTGTTTTATGACTTTTTTCCAGTCAGAAGTTGTACCATAAAAAGCCCGCAAACAATACTGGAAGCTTTTGCATTTTACATATTCATTTTATTTTACATTCTTTTTGTGTTCCTTTTGTTATCCGTGCAGCTGGGAAATGTGTTTTTAAAATGCATTGAAAAGTGATAAATTTTTTGTAAAAAACAATAGATAATTAATAAATTAATTAAACTGCAATAATAACAACATTTTGTTTATTTTCATTTGCAGATATTTTGGTATTTAGTGAAATGAATGTGAAAAAAAAATTAAAGTTTTAAAAATGAATAAATAATTCAACCTTAAAAATTTGTGAATAAAAAAAAATTGTTCGTCGTTTTGTGTGCTGCAGAGTAGTAGAAGAAGAAGAAGGAGAAGGGTTGAATATCGCGGATGGTTGATTGAATTTGTGTATAAGTGGAAATTTATTGAAATCCAAAGGAAATATACACACAAACACTACTGCTGTTACCGCAAAAGCCTACAACCACATCAACAACGACGAACGAGGAGCATACACAACAATTTTTGCAAAATAAGAACAGCAGCAACAACATATTGAAGAAGAACAAACAACAAATACACGCACACACAAATACAAAATCCAACTTGGGCAAAATGCCTAGTGCCTCTTTTACATCATCGCGCTCCTATGTGCGACGTTCCAGACGAAAGGGTGCCAATCGTATTGCATTACCAAATCGTCCAACTGGTGAGTTGTTATTAACTGTTGTTAATTAAATTTATAAACTTATTCGTATCTTATTTTTATTTTTAAGGAAACATTATGGATCCCATGCTCCAGAATACGGCTTCAACGTCAGCATCACAATTAAATGCAAATTTAATGCAAAATCACTCTGCCATGTCCTCAACAGCAGCATCAACATCTGCCATAGCATCCACCGCTGCTGTAGCCTCATCGGCAGCCAATGCAAATGCAGGAGTTTCAACATCCTCGTCCTCAGCAACTTCCACGTCGTCATCATCATCATCAGCGGCATGTTCGTCTAGTAATGTAGGCGTTTTATTATCCCTAAAACAACAACAACAGCAGTCTCTATCATCATCGTCTTCCTCAGCCGATATGTACGATGCTTCTGGGCCATCCTGTTCAAAATCACAGTCGGGAGCTTCATGTTCACATGCTTCGGCATCTTCATCTTCTTCAAACACAGCTTTAGCTCAATTGGGTTCGGGCTCAGCGAATGCCTCAACGTGTAATCAAATGTCATCATTTAATAATCCTTCTTCTCCGGAATATGTGGGAATGCATATAAATGATAATGAACCAGGAACTTCCAGTGGTGGTAAGTTTAGATTTGAAAAGAAAAATGAATTTGCATTAAATTTTAAATATTCTCTACTTCTTCATTTTTAGCATTTTCTTCCTCCTCCCTAATGGGCAGCAGTGGAAATCCGGCTGCCTCCACATCACCATTAAATTCATCGTCAACATCGTCGTCTTGTGTACATCAACCGCCATATGATTTACGAAGTAAATTGCCTGCCAACAGTAATCACGATCAATGGTCGACATCAGTATTGTCCTCAAACTCATCATCCTCCAACCCCTCCTCCTCTTCTTCCGCATCGGCCAATAACAACAACACATCATGCTCCATGAGCATTTCCACAGGAGTTATTGTTGGTCCTTCGTCTGGCTCAAATTTAAATAATAATTTACCTTCGGGTTCATCGTCGTCCTCGTCCTCTAATAATCAGACAGCAGCTGTAATACATGCACCCTGCACTAATGCATCATTTCCAGTAAATAATGCTCACACAACCGGAGCTCCACTAACACACCCGCCAACCGTACATAGTTCCATACCACAACAGCATTGCAGTGCCCTTCCCATAGGCGGCTCTGATACAAACAGTTTTATGTTGCCGGCGCGCAAGAGATCAAGACGTCTGTATGCGATTAGCGTAGATACGGCGCTTATGTCACCTCCCAGTATGTCCAACTCATACAACGGTCCCTCGGCGGCTCAATATTTGCAATACGAACTACCCGATGAAGTTTTATTGGTCATATTCTCCTATCTATTGGAACAGGATCTTTGCCGTTTGGCTCAAGTCTGTAAACGGTTCAACACAATTGCCAACGACACTGAACTGTGGAGACGTTTATACCAATCAGTTTTTGAATATGATTTACCCCTCTTTAATCCCGAAATTTCCAAATTTATCTTTGAGAAACCTGAAGATTCGGAGTATGCCAACGCTTGGAAGGAAAGTTTCCGCCAATTGTATCGTGGTGTTCATGTAAGGCCAGGTTATCAAAATAAAAAGTATCCCGGACGTTCCATAGTGTTCTTTGATACCATACAAGCCGCTTTAGACTATCCCGAGGAGAGAGCTGCTTCTGTAGGTGCTGCCTCTACTTCAAGTGCTGTGATCAATGCAGGTCTTTCGAATCCTTCAGCTGGGGGAGCTAGTGTCAATGCTTTGTCCAACATGTACGAAGACGCTGTTCCGCCGCTCGATCATCCGGGTCCCTTGATATTTTTACATGCTGGTCATTACAAAGGAGAATATCTATTCATTGACTCGGATGTGGCGCTAATCGGTGCAGCTCCTGGTAATGTTGCTGAGGCAGTGGTGCTAGAACGTGAAGCCGGCTCCACCGTCATGTTTGTAGAGGGTGCCAAATACGCCTACGTTGGCTATTTGACGCTCAAGTTCTCTCCCGATGTCACATCCACTGTGTCGCATCACAAACACTACTGTCTAGATATTGGTGAAAATTGTTCACCCACTGTGGATAATTGCATTATACGCAGTTCATCGGTGGTGGGTGCTGCAGTGTGTGTGGGTGGCGTCAATGCAAATCCCATTATACGCAATTGCGACATTAGTGATTGTGAGAATGTGGGTCTCTATGTGACGGACTATGCTCAGGGCACTTACGAACACAACGAAATTAGTCGTAATGCCTTGGCCGGCATCTGGGTGAAAAATTTCGCTAGTCCTATAATGCGTGAAAATCATATACATCATGGCAGGGATGTGGGTATATTTACATTTGAAAATGGAATGGTAAGAGTTTGTTGTTTTCTATCCAAACATAAGAACGATTTTTTATCTCCTTCTCTTGCAGGGTTATTTTGAAAAGAATGATATACACAATAATCGTATTGCTGGTTTTGAGGTTAAAGCCGGTGCTAATCCCACAGTGGTGAAATGTGAAATACATCATGGCCAGACGGGTGGCATTTATGTGCATGAAAATGGTTTGGGACAATTTATCGAAAATCGCATACACTCCAATAATTTTGCTGGTAAATATACTAATTCTTAAGAAAATACAAAAAAATCCAAACTATTAATTTATGTTTAATTCACAGGTGTTTGGATAACTTCGAATAGCAATCCTACCATACGCAAGAATGAAATCTATAATGGTCATCAAGGTGGTGTTTATATTTTTGGCGAGGGACGTGGTCTCATCGAGCACAATAATATTTACGGCAATGCTTTGGCGGGCATACAAATACGCACAAATAGTGATCCCATTGTAAGGCACAATAAAATCCATCATGGTCAGCATGGTGGCATTTATGTGCACGAAAAGGGCCAAGGTTTAATTGAAGAAAACGAAGTGTATTCCAACACATTGGCAGGTGTATGGATAACAACGGGCAGTACCCCGGTATTAAGAAGAAATCGCATACATTCCGGCAAACAGGTAAAAGAACACATCCTTTATAACAAATTGATAAATAAAAATTAAAATGTTTTTATTTAATTTAAGGTTGGCGTGTATTTCTATGACAATGGCCATGGCAAACTGGAGGACAATGATATTTTCAATCATTTATATTCCGGTGTACAGATACGTACTGGCAGCAATCCCGTCATACGGGGCAACAAAATTTGGGGTGGTCAAAATGGCGGTGTACTAGTTTACAACGGCGGTCTGGGTTTATTGGAACAAAATGAAATCTTCGATAATGCCATGGCCGGTGTTTGGATTAAGACTGATTCAAATCCCACTTTAAAGCGTAATAAAATCTATGATGGTCGTGATGGTGGCATTTGTATATTTAACGGTGGCAAAGGCATCCTAGAAGAGAACGATATATTTCGCAATACCCAGGCAGGTGTTTTAATATCAACTCAATCTCATCCCATTTTACGACGCAATCGTATTTACGATGGTCAAGCGGCTGGTGTTGAAATAACTAACAATGCCACCGCCACTTTGGAGTACAATCAAATATTTAAGAATAAATTTGGTGGCTTATGCTTGGCCAGCGGTGTACAGCCCATAACGAGGGGCAATCAAATATTCAACAACGAAGATGAGGTGGAGAAAGCCGTTTCGGGCGGTCAATGCCTCTATAAAATTAGCAGTTACACATCGTTTCCCATGCACGATTTCTATCGGTGTCAGACGTGTAACACCACCGATCGTAATGCGATTTGCGTTAATTGTATTAAAAACTGTCATGCAGGTCATGATGTCGAATTTATAAGACATGATCGGTAAGTGTTCAAAATTAAGTTATTTTTTTCTTGGCCAAACTAATTGTATAACTTAACTTTATTTCTTGTGTTTTAAAGTTTCTTCTGTGATTGTGGTGCCGGCACCTTATCAAATCAGTGTCAACTACAGGGTGAGCCCACTCAAGACACTGATACCCTCTATGATTCAGCAGCTCCTATGGAATCTCATACACTTATGGTAAATTAACTAGAACTTTAACTGTAAGTATTTCTTTTCTTCACTCACACTCTTAAACGAAAAACAAAAAAACCCATTCGAATTCAAACAAATCGAATTAAAAAACGTACGAGTTTTGTTGTGCTAACAAAAAGAAATCTAAACCATAATATATTAATAATTAAAAAAAAAAAAGAAATTAAGAAAAGAAAAAAAAAAACATTTAATGCAATTAACTTTAACTATAAACAAAAGTAATTATAATTATTTCATAATATTAATATTAACGTATACAATATAAATATCTCTATTATATATAAATAAAAGTAATTAATTATAAATATACATATTAATTATAAATATAAATTTCTACAATTACTTTTAGTATACATATATTACATATAAAATTATATTACAACAATTTAAACATAGAAAACATAAAATTTATAAAATATTTAGTCTCCAATAATACTTATATATAAAATACTATGTACTCTCTATAAACTTTACACAAATTACACGTAAATTTTATGATATTTTTCTTTAATTTTCCTTTTTATGTTTTTCTTTATCATTTTGTTTCATTTGCATAAATATGAATCGAAATTACAAACAAATCAAACTGTTATAAATTTATACATCTAAAATATATATGAAACAGCAACTGAAATATTTTATGTTGAACATTAAACTACGCTCTGCTACACATAAATACTATATAATAGCCAGTAATAGTTTATATTACACACACACACACACTAATCTTTTCAAACCAAATCACAAAGTAAGAAAGTTATTATGTATTAAGAAATTAAGTACAATTTCTTTATTAAAATGTTCGAATTTTATTCGAATTGGCGATTTTTGAAACCAGTAACAAGTATCCTCTTCAAGATTTAGTTTTTAACTAAACAAATCAGTATTTATTTTCTGTTATAAATGTTTAGAGCTAAAGAATTTTGCAGAAAATTTAACATATAGAGGCAAAGTTTTCCAGAATCATTATTTGAAAATTTTCAGTTTAAAATTAAAAAATTCTAAATAAAAAAACAAATTTTTAAACGGCATTTTGAAAATTTCAAGTGGAAAATGGTTTCCAAATGGTTTTTATGATACAATTTTAATAATTTTTAAAATGCAACATTTTCATTTTAAATTGATTTAAATTTTTATATGAAATGGAAAATTTTGATTTAAAAACAAGAAATTTGAAAAAAAAATTTCATTGAAGATTTCAATTTTTGATTGAAATGTTTTGTTTTCAAACATGATTTTTTTGATTTTGAAATTAAAATTTTTGATTTGAAAATTAAACTTTCGAATAAAATATTTTATTCGAAATTTAAATTTGAAAATGTTGCTTAAATTTAAAAATGTTGATGCAAAATTACAAATTTTTATTCGAAAAAGGAAAAATTTTAATTAAATTTTGTATTGAAAATTTAAAATCAATAGTATTTTATTCAAAATTTTAAATTCCAAATCAAAATGTCTAATTTGAAAGTTAACATTTTAAATTTTAAATCTTACTTCAAAACTAAAAAGTAAAAGATTTTATTCAAAATTGACAATTTTTGGTGTGAAAATTCAAAATTTTTATTGTTCGAATAAAAAATCGAATAAAAAAATGTTGATTCGAAATTCAAAAATTTTGATTAGTTTAAAAAATGTTGATTCCAAATAAAATATTTTGATTCGAATTTCGAAAGTGATAATTTTTATTTAAAATTTATAATTCTGATTTGATTATGAACATTTTTATTAAAAATTATAAATTTTGGGTTAAAAATTAAACATTTTGTTTCGATAAGAAAAAATATTTTTCAAAATTTGAAAATTCGTGATTAAAAATATGGATTTCAAATTAAAATTTTTAATTTTGATTCAAAATTTTAAATCTTGTTTCAAAACTAAAAATTTAAAGCGAAAGTTTCAAATTTCAAATCGACTCGAAATTAAAATTTTTTTGATTTGAAATAAAAAATTGTACGTAGTTCGAAAATTAAGAATTTTTTTAGAAATTGAAATTACATTTTTTTTGAATCGAAATAAAAAATTATAGTTCGAAATTTTAGATTTTTATTATAAATTTAAAATATTAATTCAAATTTAAAAATTTTGATTAATAAATAATAATTTTGGATTCAAAATTACAAATTTTATCGAATCAAAATTTTTTTAAAATTGAAAATTCGCAATTAAAAATTTCTTTAGAAATTAAAAATTTTGACTCAAAATTAAAAAATTTAATTTTATAATGAAAATTTTAATTTAAAATTTTTCAATAATTAATATTTCGATTCAAGATTTTGCTTCGGTAAAATTGAAAATTGTTGCTTCGAATCGCAAAATTTTGATTTTGAAAAATTACGTTTTTCTACAAAATTTTTACTAAAACATAAAATTTTTTTCAAACACAATTTGAGTAAAAATATTTTCAGTACAAAATTTTGTAAATTTTCAATAAAAATTTACTGTTTATTTTCTTTTTTTTTTATTAAAAATTTTTATTATTTTTTTTTATATAAAATTTGTTTATACAATTTTTGTTTATTGATATTATTTGATTTTTAAATAATTGAAATTTTATAATTTAAACATGTTAATAAGTTTTAAATTTTTATAAATTTCTTTTTAATTTTATGTATTTAAATTTTTATTTGTTGTGTTTTAATAGAAAATTATTTTCAAAATTTTGAAACGTTGAAATATTTTGTTTGAAATAACACAAATTTTAAATTATATTATTTGTATTTAATAAATCCTCCCCTCTACTCTGCACTTTTTCAAAAGTATTAAAAGCTTTATTTTTAAAATTCTAATTATACATGTGCCAATTACCATAATATTTTTAACAAAATTATTTAATTAAAAATTAAACATTTCATTTTATTTTATTATATTAAAATACTTGTCAAATTATTATTATTATTTAATTAAATCTTTTTTTATATATTGCACTGAGAGAAAACAGTAGATTTTATTTACAAAATAACAGGGTTTAAAACGAAAAGTCTTAAAAGCTGGGCTTAATACTAAAACTATCGTATAAATTCCTATATTATTTGTAATTTAAAGACTTCAAAGAGGCTTGACAAAAGTTTCCTATTTTTCAGAAGGAGACTTTTGTATAAATAAAAGTTTCTTAAAAAAACTTTTAAGCCTCTTAAGGTTTTTTCTATTGGTTTCAATATTTCAATTTTCTTTGTAAAATAACAAAACTTTTGTATATAAAAATAAAAATTAAATAAAACAAAACGATAATATATACCCCCCCTTTATCATCTATCTATGTGCAATTAAGATTTCCACATTAATGTTTTTTGTATAGTACTTTAATATTAATATTAAATTAAAAAAAGTAAAATTAATATAACAACAATATTTGTCTAAAAATATAAACAATAATTGTAATAATAAAAAAACAAGACACCAAAATCCCAGTGAAAAAAGTATTTTTGATTGAAATAACCGAAAAATAATGTTGAAAACCAGCAACAACTTAAGCAATACAATTGAAAATACTATTTTAAAAACATAAATATTGTTTTAGCAACAACAATATTTCTTTAATTTTAATTTTATGTTTTATTAAGTTAGAATTAAGCTTAAAACAAATTGGAAATCCTTTAATATTAAAGAAAAAAATTAACATTAAATTTTAAGTTTTGTCTTAAGTTTGCTTTTTTTTATATATACACAAAACAAACTTACAAAATATTTTAACATAAAATATTATAAATAATCTTAAAAATAAATGTTTTTTATATGTATTTTTGATGATCACACAATGATGATAATGATGATGGATGAATGAATGTGGCTGATAACTGTAGTCATTACAATTTAGTCTAGTAGTTTTATTGAAACAAAAAATTCACAAGTTTTAATACAAAAAACAAGTATTTTATAAGACTTTAAGCAAACAACAACAACAATTTGTAACAATATGTATTTGCAAGACAAAAAAAATAACAAAAATCATTAATTGAAATAATAATAATAATAATAATTTTGGATTCATTGCAGCTAAAATCAATATTTAAAAGAAATTAAATTGAAATCAAATGATATTACCAGAGAAATAATTAATTAAAAACAAAACAAATTAATATGAAACAAATTAATATGAAAAACTTTAAAACAATTTTGAACAAAAGAAAACCCAACAACAACAACCAGAAACTTAATTGTGTCATTTTAGTTATTTAAGAAGCTCACATTTAACAACAACAACAACAAGAACTACTACTAATTAATTATTAAAAATAAATAAATAATATAATTATAATACAAATAAAAAATATATATAAAATAAGAAAATTATTGTTTTTTATTATGAAATTAGAGGGAAATTGTCAATTGTTTCAAGAATTGAATTAAAGTAAACTATAAGACTATAAGATCCATTCTGATTCCTTCGTAGAATGTGAAGATCCAAAGAAATAGAAACAAAACACTAGAAAAAACAAAAGGAACATTAGTAGAGAGCATATCCTGCATTCTAGGATATTGGCAAATTATGTGCTTAATCATCTCTTGTTCCTCTGCATCTTCGCAACTTCATATCATCCACATAGCAGTGCCCTGGCACCTATCACGGTAACGTTTTTTACGTACTTAATAATACCGTAATAAAACAATTTTTGTTGGAACGAAAATATGTCTACCAAAGGCATAATTCACCTTAAACCCATATGAGATCTTCTTCAGAAAATGACTTAAACTTTCAAATGTCGATGTAATTAATGGAATTCCACGAAAAAAAACTTTTTTAGGAACCGAAACCTATATTTATGAAAAATAAAATTATGAGGATCGGTCCGCCAAATATAACCCTCTTACAGAAAATCAATTTATAGCTAATATATCATTCCAAAAGTTATCAATATGATAGAATTATGGTAGAATTAAAAAAATACTTTAAATTATGAAGAACTTGGTCCATAATTGACCCAATCCGACATTTAAGTCCCTATTCCGAAAATTACGCTGACGTTCTTATTAATCTAATGATCAAAGTCCATATACATGTGCAAAATTTTTTAGAAAATGATTTTCTGCAAGATGTTTTATATGGAGGATAGGGTCTAATATAGTCCGATCCTCATAAAACTTGGAGAAAGGATTTGTTTTTAATTTTTAAGAATTTTTTATCCATCCCTGCATAATTTCTCACACAACTTTTGTGGTTGCTCTGTCTTGTTGTTATAAACAATA